ATTGTCGATGCCTAAGTGTTTTGGCAAAGAGGCATCTGAACGCTACGCACCCTGCCTCTAGCGGAATCGACCTTTCTCTCGTCGCCCGTTGTCCGCAGAACAGGATGGACGATGGATTTACGATGAAGCATTGCGGTCATCCAAGCCCGATCAGCCTATGGACTTCAGCTACTCCGCCTTCGCATGAAATCGTCATGTCAACCTCGGACAATAAGCTTTGACGACGTATCCAGTCGCTGGGGGCCGAGGAATCTCAGGGGTGGAGGCCATCGTGGTACGGATTGAGCACCGTTGCCCGGTGAATTAGGACCATTCTTCGGTGGAGAGACGAAAGTGGCAGGAAAGGTACGTTTCGTAATCCCGGGGTTGAATGTCTTTTGCGCATAGCAACGTGAAAGCTGCAAGCCAAGAACAGGCTGCGTCACCGTCTCGGCAAGAGAGAGGCCGATATTGCTGAATTGTCCCGTTGGACACGTCAAATTTCTGTTATAATCGCATTTGCTAATGTTTTCAAAAGAAAAGGCAAGCCCAGCCTTCGAAAGTATTAGGCTGAAGAGCATAAGCACAACCCAACAGCCGGCGACGAGGGAAACTATCAATCAAGTTGCCCGAACGGAAGCATCTCTCGTCTTGGTAAAGCGGGCTGTTTGGCAGGGAAGCAAGCGGTGCATGTATGGGATCGAATTCTTGCTCGGTGATGGAATGAGGGTGGGATTTCAGTGGCTTCTAGAAGGCAGCAGGAGAATGAGTAGAGGATTTGCCGGCGTCGCGCTCAGATCATGGCAGCCAGCAAAGCGCACTGGCGTAGGATGCTGACAACTCCCCGGGATGATGACGGAGGCTTCGGAGCGACGGGTCGGCGAGAGGGACACGGCAGCAGGCAAAGACGAGGAGGACGGGTTGGACAACGAGCTGATGAGATGGAAGTGTGCGTGTTGACGTTGGGTTGGTTTGTCGACTTGACTCAAGTCACAGGTAGCATGAGCAAATGCAGAAGGAGGGCCCGTGCGTGCAATCCCAAACCAGGACCGACTTTCTTCCACCATGGCGACGCTTCCCTCGTCTTCCTTGACACACCATCCTCAGCCCAGTACCATTCCCAGGGTATTCCCTCTGTCTTGCCCTCTACCCGAACATCGCCATTGTCTTTTGCGCGTGTCGCTAAGCACAAAGCATACCCGAGCGCGCGTCGACGTGTCTTCGTCTTCGCTAGCCCCCCTTTTTCCCAGGGCCGCCCAATTCCATTACATTCCCCAGAATGGCATTTACAAGCCTGCCCATGCCTTTACAGCGCCCCTTCCGCCCTCATGTGGCGGGACATGGTATGAATCCAAACAAAGCCGGCCCGTAGCTACGCTAAGCTTCAGATGCTTCAATTTCTTGGGCGGCCACGGTGGAGAGGGAAAGGCAAGAAGTGGGAGCGTTGCGCCGTCTTTGTGGCGTGTCAAATGTGCCACTTGATGTAGCCACTCCGTCTTTATAGAATCTCCATGTCTCCTGGTTCTACCAGATTTCCGTCTTTCTCTCCCATTGTTTCGCAACCTTGATCATCCGTCAATGTCCGGAATTCGATTTCTTTGCTGTACACCGATACATCCGAGTCACGATCCTCGAGAGGCTACAATTCGATAAAACTTCCCTCGCAGGTTCTTTTATCGGTTGTGCTCGTGTCTCTAGCTCCCATGCCTTCAAACAGGACCCACAAACCGCCGCCCCTCAGGTCGCAAGGTTCTCGAGAAAATGATCTCGCCGCTGGAAGCAACAAATCGAAATCCGGCGACACCTCTAACTCAGATCTGAGACCAAAAGACCAGCGCGGTCGGTCAAAGTCTGCTTTCTCGTCAAGGCGGCAACCATTGGGAGAAATATCGCCGGCCAATCAGAACACTGCAAGATCCAGGTCATCGCAACGATCAAAATTGCTACCTCCTCTCCTCCGCATAGAGAGAGAGTTGGAACGCCAGCGAGCTCGCGAACGCAAAGAGCAAGATGAGGCTGCTGCAAAACGGCACTCGAGAAATTTGAGCGCGCCGTCTCCCACCCTCGCCCGGCCACAACATCCATTTTCATCATCTCAGGCGCTCCAACCTGGCCCGGCTTCTCCAGGCAGTCGTTCAGACAAGCGATCATCTGCATCTACTGATACTCCCGAGTTCTTCAACAGCCTTCTCGGTCCATCGGAACCATCTCCACAGGTCGACTCCTCCAAGCGCCATTCTGCAGGTGGCAAAAGCCGACAATCCATCAGTACCATTAGGTCTGTGACAGACAAGGACAGGAACATCACCTCTCCTTCCTCGCGTCACATCTCTCCTCATTCGCGGGAGTCTAGTCGCAGGCGTTCCGGGCTACGTTCTGTTGAACCTGCAGAGGAATCGGAAGAAGTTCCGCCTCCGTCATCAAAATTTCCCGGTGCTTCTGACAGATCATCTGCATCCTCGGAAACGCTCTCTACAAGGTGTCACGTGGATCGAAAATCTACTGGCAGCAACTGGACCCTTTGGCCGCCCAGCTTCCAGTCTGCTCGGCGGCCATCTTCAACGCCTGCAGGACTCAATCTTTCTGGGATTGGTGATTCGGATGGATCTGAAAACCGGCCGGTGACAACGTCAGGGAGACCTCTCGAGCCTTTCCTTGATCCAGACTCGCAGACAAGGACGAGGCGCCCTTCTTCCACCCCCATTTTGAGCGAACACTTCTTGAGCCATTCTCGATCTCATTCTCGGGTTCATACGGTATCTCGAGAGTTTTCCTCTCAGGAAGCAGTGATTTTGCAGTATCCCCAAATGCGAGATGCCTCAGCTGGAACCTTTGCATCTGTGGAATATGGCTCTCCAGCGCCTATTCATGTGCCGAGAATCCGGAATCGGAACAGCCAGGCCCTGGACAAGTTGCAGGGAGCTCAACAGACGGCTACCGAGCCTGAATCAGAAGCCTCCATCGACTTGCCTTCGGCAAAAAAATCACCGGTTGTCGAGAGGAAGCCGGTCGCTGGTGAGGAATCCCAGCCGGCTCAGGACAGGAATCCGACTGTGCAATCATCGACAACTGCTTCAATCTACACCAGGGTAGAAGGAACTGCTACTCCTGCGACATTTGTAACAGATCGACCTCGCAAAGCCTCTGATGACACAGCATATATCCCACCTCTTCGCAATCCTTGGCAATCAGTTGACTCGATGAGCTTTGCTCAAATGGGATTCAGCGAAAGATCCTGGCCGTTGACACGTCCGGGCAGCAATTCGAGCAACAGCACAGTCGTCCATGTTGCTCGAACATTGCCTGCATGGGCGCGGTGAGTGGATTTCCGTCTTCACTCAGATGTTCAACTGTGGCTAATTCATGACAGGACCTTTTATTCCACTGCAAATCCAAGCTCTTATTCATTCCATGCCGGATCTTCTCGATCACAGTCCGTTACTTCGCTGGGCACCTTTCATCCACCCAAAACTCCAAAGACTCCACGAACTCCGCGAAGTCCTCAGAATCACAAGTTCGCCATCGATTTCAACCATTCCAATGGCACAACCTTCAAGTCCGGCTTCTCGCGTCCAACATCAAAGTCAAACACCGCTCACACCGCCCCCACTGCTTCGCCTTCCTCCTCTGAATTCAGCATTGCGCGTGTCCATCGGCCCCGGAACCGCCCCCACAGCACCATTTACAGCGCCAATCTCGATGATGACCAGCTTGCCGAAGCTTTCGGTCCCGATGGCGTTCCGCGTCCTGGATTCATGGCTGACCATCGCGGACTAGCACTCTCATCATTGACACAAGAATCCTCCTCGTTTTCTGGTGATAACAGCTCCGACCTTGAAATACAAGCACTGCCGACGTATTCACGCGCGTCTGAATCTGTCTACGAAGAAGTAGAGTCTGAGCCGCGACGCCAGAGATTTTCAACGCAGAGCAACACCAATACGGTAGCAACTTTGGCAACCTGGTATCGATCACTGGCACCCCCTTCTCCGCCTCCATCGCAGACTCGCGACGATCCCCGAGTGGACCGACAGATCTACCTCTTCGCGTTTGGGTTCTTTTTCCCATTCGCATGGATGGTGGGTGCCTTTCTCCGCCTCCCCCCGCCTCCGCCGGCCTCTGACCCGTACCTTGATGACTTGGAGAGAGGTCACGATGACGAGTTTCGACAACGAGCGTCTATGGCTGCTGAAGTCCACGCTGGAAGAGTACGGGAGAAGGAGCTCCAGGTGCCAGAGGGCCGGCCCAGTTGCGGCACACCAATCGCCATTCGCTTGGGAGAGGCTGAGGCGGAGAGGGCCTTTGCTAGGGGACTGTATTGGCGCCGGTTGAACCGAATCTTCTCCGTCTTTGGTACGTTGGCAATCCTGCTGATCATTGTTTTGGCTGCAATGTTGGGGTGAGGTGTAAGTCCCAGGCCTGGTAGCAAGAAGACCCTGAAAAGCGCGCTCAACCCCTTTAATGCAGACACCGGAAGCAATTATGGTCGCATGTGCTGCGACTCGCTACCAAGTCTCGATCCCATTTCCCCTTTACTCGCCCGAAGTCTTGTTTTCGATCGTTGCTTTCAATTCTGTCGACTATTTTTGCAAGCATTGCGCCATAATGTTTAACCTCAACAACAGTGAGAACCATTGTTCATTCTGAATCTGGAGGATAGAGCGATTTCCCATTTCTTAGAGGCTCGCGGAAGCTTGGGCGGAAGGCGTTTGCGTCATTCTAGATTGGACGATGAGATGTCAGGACCATTACGACTTATGAATAGCGAGCAAACTTTTTGAGATTGATAGATAGCCAATTACTTATTTCGATTTACACCAAAGCTTCGCAAGAGTCGAGCATCGTTGATCCTGTACTCCGGATGTTCCTTCCCCCTGGCACTCGGACCCTGGTGTTCTAGTCCCCGTGCCCCCTCGGCTAGCAGCACTAGCCCGACCTCGTCGCATCCACCACCATCCAAAAGGTGAATTCGTCCATCTCCACACCTCCAGCCATGCAAAAGAGCAAAAAGAAAGTGGTTATCTCCCCTCCCAGAATCGAACTAGGGACCTTTCGATAGCATTGTGTGAAGCTATTACAGTCGAACGTGATAAACCAACTACACCAAGAGGAGTGAACAGCAGTTGTACTGCTGTCTTGGTTGAGGTTTTTGTTCGCTAATAGGGCTTATATACTAGCAAGATAGTGGCAAAGACACTGTAGAGCCTCCTTGACGGCTTCAAATTCCTGAAAATCACACACAACTGCAAGCGTGGGTGCTCCGTTTGCTGGGGGCCAAATTTTGCGTGTCTGTGCAGGTGTGCGCGGTCCGATTGGACGGAAGAAGATGGTTGAGCATGACCGGGAGATCCCGAATCAGCTTGGGAGAACACTTCTGTCCGAAGTGCAAGACCTAAGTCTTCGAGGTGTGGACATGAAATGGGGTCTTTCAAGGCCGAAATTGAAGGTAGGAGACCAAAGACACCAAGACAGGGTGTGGGGAGCAACACGAAGACGGGATATCAAAATCGAAAAACTGTCACTCAAAATCCACCTAAAGCTTTTTTCTACTTGTAAGAAATACAAATCTCCTAGCCCCTTTGATCAGTGTCGATCGACCGGAGCTTTCTACCAGCCCACAAGGAAGGGTGTTGCTTTTCTCTGGTTGATAGCCCCATTTAAAGGTTGAATTTATTGATGGCAGGTTTTCGCCGTTTCTCAAGTTTTACTTACGGGCTTCTTTTCCAATAAAAGTGACCGAACCGTTTGTTGACTGCTAGAAAAACCAAGGTACCGTACTCGCACGTATTCAATGGATATCATGGTGTTTTGCTATCCTTTGATGGCCACATGCCCGCGTGGTGCAAAGCTAACGCACGGACGCGTCGACGCGTGAAGCTCCGCATGCCTGTCGCGCAGCGGACCGCAAAGCACCACCGAACATCCGCAATGCTCCCTCAAGAAACGCTCTTCACGACTCTCAGCGAACGATACCCTTGTCGCGCTCTTCAAATTCGCCAACTACTGCACCTCTACAATGTAGGACTCCTTTGGATTTCTTAAATTTCCGGCTAACTCGCAATCAGCCTGCGTTGCCCAGTCCGTCTACCGTTGTCATTCATGGCCTTGCGGCTACCGGAAAGAGTGTGGTCACGAAGGACGTCCTCCAATCGCAAGGAATCAATCATGCTGTCATCCAGTCGCGAGAATGTATAACGGGACGACACCTGCTGGAGAGAACGCTCGCTGCCTGTCTCGACGCAGTTGACGATTCAGAACCCGACACAGAGCTTGACCGGAGCCCGTACGCTCGATGCGAAAATATCAGCGCCCTACTAGTACACTTGCAGCGTCTTTTGGAAGGGAGGGAACGCTTTGTACTTGTGTTCGATGGCGTTGACAGGCAACGGGAGTCTCCGCCAACTCTCCTGCCTGCGCTTGCGCGACTTGGCGAAGTGGTAAGCCACGAGCGGCGTTCATATATGGGCTTCCGGTACTGACATCTGCAGATACCGGCGTTGAGTGTCATTCTCATAATATCCGTCCCACGAGCCGGCTTCCTTCACACTGCATGCGCGCCCTTCGTCCACTTCCCATCTTACACTCGCGACGAGTCTATCCGAATAGTCGCTCGGGATCCGCCCGACATTTTCCTTGAACCGCCGTCACCATCTAAGGAGTATGACGATGACCTGGCGGCTGAGGACAAGGATTGGCTATGGGTAAGATATTTGGGTGTCGTGTGGGATGCATTGGCCAAAAGTGCGGCTAGAGATGTCGTGAGCTTTGAAGCGTTGGCTAGGAAATTGTGGGATCAGTTTGTCACGCCAATTCGTGACGGCACATTTGGCACGCGGGACCTGTCAAGGCTCTTGGTCCATCGAAGGGCCTTGTTTCAGGGCGAGGGCGCCTTGGTCGAAAGTGTCGTGCCGGGTGAGCAAAAGTCGAAGTCAAAGGGTCAGTTCATCCGCACTATCAGGTGGTGGTGCCCAGTTTTCATGCTGAAAATTCAATGACAGTCACACACGAACTCCCATACTACTCCAAGTACTTGCTCTGTGCAGCGTACCTGGCCTCTTTCAATCCTGCGCGCCAGGATACCATCTACTTCACAAAAGCGAGCGAGAAGAAGCGGAAGAAAAAGGGTGGTGCCACTGCAGTAGGCAGAGTGCCAAAGCATCGTAAGGTCTGTCACAAAATCCCTACAGATATTCTTGCTTCAATACTGACGGCTCCGCTAGATCCCTCGCCACCTTCTCACGCCGTCCGCCTTTCCCCTAGACCGCCTCCTGTCCATATTCCAAGCAATCTTGCCACACGCAGTCGCTCCGACCGCGGATATCTATACGCAGATTGCAACCTTGTCCTCACTGCGGTTGCTTTTGAGGTCTGGAGCCGCCGGAGCGGACCCCCTCGACGGCAGCTGCAAGTGGAGAGTCAACTACGGCTACGAGTTCGTACGAGAACTTGGACGCAGCGTTGAATTTGAAATGGGAGAGTTTCTGGCTGGCGGAGAGTGAAGTCCACCCACGCAGCCTTTCAAATGACAAGTTGCTTAGATACCCAAGACTGAAAATCCGTTCAATTTTTGACCAATGCTGCATGTTGGACATTTTGATCGCTCATGACAAGCCCTGCGCAGTGGAAGGCGCCTGCAAGCCTGCGTAAGTTAGGGTTCCACCGCGCGTCTGAGTTACGTTACCCTTGTCGCTTAACAATGCAGGAGAAGCAAAGACGATCGAAGTTTCTTAAGTGGACCAATCAGTTGATGGTAGCACAACAGCAGCGCGCATCCAAGCACATTTTGAAGTTGCTATGGCCAGCCATTCGTCTTTATTGGCCGCAGAGAATCTTTTGACGCTCTGGGCCTCTCGAACAGAAGATTGCAGCATGCAACGTCAAATCTGCTCCCTGACTGAGGGTATGTAAGGTCTCTGTAAATTGATAGAAGAGCTCTACAATTGTCTTCTGGCAATGAAACTCCAAGATTCGAAAGCGAGGACGCGTCGTTGGCAGCGTCGCTGGTAACCGCAACAGGACTTGGCATCCTCCCCAACACCGCTCGCGGCGAGCCTTCGCAACGCGTTTTTGCAGTGTCTTTTGCAATTCAACTTGACCATGAAGCAAGGGCATTTGGTGGGGTTTCAGAACCAAACAATTGTATCCACCAACGGCTCCTGAAATCAGCCCAGCTTGCTGTGTAACCATGCCGCAGCACAAGTGGCTGAAAGGGCGTCTGCACGTGTCCCAAACTGGAAAGAAACCCCCATCTTCGAACGCAGCATTTTTGAAAATCGTTCATAAATCGTCTGTATCTCGTTAGAATCAGGCTGACGGGCGGAGATGGCTCGGACCGCCATCAAGTCCTCTCGTTCTTGCATCTGCACCACTATCTTGCCGACGTATATTTTTGGAAAGAGCAGAGTTGATTGGGCCACATTGGATGGGACTCTGCTGGGGATTTGGGGCGAGATCTCCGTGCGGAGCTGGCCCTCTCGTCGGTTGGGGCCGCGGTTTTGAGCGTGGGGGCAGAAGGGAGGTTCGGCGAAGTAACGGACGTGAGGAGGTGGTGATGTGAGCTGCATGATGCGTGAAGAGTTTTTGCTCTTTCCCCATCCTTACGTGTTTCTCACTTGGCAAAGCAGACGGAACTAGGGAGCCAATGCAAGCAACTGTGTTGTGTCATCGGATCGTCCGATGGATAATCAGATGGGATTCCCATGACCCATGGGTGTTGGTTGGACCCTCACCCAGCCTCATCTTCTGGCTTTGCTATCTGGTTCTGCGCAGTCCCGGTAGCCCCTCTTTCGCCGGTACCCTCGTTCCTTGTTTCGACTTTGGGTTTGGCTCAACGGTTCAAGTGGCGGGTCGCTTCGCTTCTGCAAGCGAACCGCAGTTCAGGACGCACACAACAACAGGCCATGGTTGCAAAGACAACCGTTGGGATGCGCTTCAGTGACTCCATGAGAAAAAGCCAGAGGACTAACGGGACCGCAGGACGGGTGTATGCCTCAGGCGACGATGATAACCCAACATGGCGATGAGTCTACGAGGCTCGGGGCAAGCTAAACGATCCCATACCTGCTTGAGTCAGAATACACGACTGGAATTGTCTTTTTGTTGTTGCAAGAATCAAAGGTGGCATATTTGCTGGCCAAGCTCCCGAGAGTAGATGCAGTTGGATGTAGCATGAGTAGAAAGGATTTGCCCCTGTGCAAGAACGAATAGGCGAACGAACGTGTGACAAATTCTAATTGACATAAAACAGCATTCAAAGCGTTCTGATGAGGGTTGTCGGCGATATTGATCTAGGTATGACCGTCATGAAATGTGGGTGAGTAATGGGGGTTGGCGCAGGACGTTGACTTTTGATGCTCTTGTCATGTGCGTGGAATGATTGTATCGAGTACAGGAAAAGCCACCGGAATAGAACAAACTTATCTGCATCTCCAATGGCCCTTGAACGGCTTTGGGGTGATTCTTGTGTTTTAATAGCGAAGGTAATGAATTGAGGATGCTCGGGTTGAAGTTGCGCCTCAGCAATGGGCAGCGAGCCAATCGTGACCAGAGAAGCGAACTCGACGCACGATCATAATGAAAGTCCTGATCGTCGGATGCGCAAAGACCTGAGCCTGATGCGCACCAAGTTGTAAGAAGGCCGCCGATGAATAAAAATGGCAGACAGCCTAAGAATTGAAGGAGGTGACATTTTTCCTTGCAGGGATCTTGCTTACGTCATGCCTCTCCTGCATCGTGTCCAGACGTGAGCTTCACCACAACAGCAGCTTGTTACCACCTCCACCCAATTCACCCTGGAAACGCCCTTGAGGTTGCGAGAGTGAGCACCATGAACATCTTCAGGTTGTTAGGTATGTTGACCTCTGTTGCCTCTCAATTGTCGCTCCCTGAGCAAGCTCAACAAAGCTCATGCTGGGCGAGCACGCCGCGCAACTTGATGCTAATGGGAAATTCGTGTCGCAGGGGACTTGTCCCACCTCATATCGATCTTGATCTTGCTCCAGAAGATGAAGTCGACAAACGTACGTCCTTGATCCTGCTCCACGACCTTTCTTGAGAGCAAGCACAGCTCCCGACAGCTCCGTGACGAGCTTGCGACGCGCCCAACGTGTACGC